TATGCGCGACCAGCTTGCAACATGCTGCAATTTGCTGCAAAATGCTGTAACATGCTGCAATTTGCTGCAATTTGCTGCAACATGCTGTAAAATGCTGCAATTTGCTGCAACATGCTGCAAAATGCTGCAAAATGCAGCAATTTGCAGCAACATACTGTTCGAGCTTATTGCTCGTATTATGTAGCAGCTTTCGTCAAACGTTCCTCCTGTCTTGACAGTAGGTGCGCATATCTAACAAGCTATAAAAGGTGTAATAAGTAAAAAAGTATATAAATAGTAATAATTTTATTATTTTTATAGTATTACTAAAAATAAAGTAAGTTGTAGCTCTTATAGCTATCAATAACTAGCAGATAGTAGCTGCTAATAGTACACTTCTTTATATGCGCGTTAAAGTGCTTTAACTAGTCTAGACTAAGCTAATTAGTAGTCTAGCTATGCTTAGAGATTATAATAACTTAATTCTAAAGTAGATTTTCTTTTTTATACTAGTTTAAAAAGTAGTTGCTACTCTAAAAGATAATAAAGAGTAGAATAGCCTACTTTTTAGTATTAATGCCTTAGATAGCTGTTGTCTACTCTTAGTTTCCTAGCTAGACTGCTTTTAGCTGTCTTTGTCTCTCTAAACCTGTAATAACTGCTTTAGTAGATATCTAGCCTATTATAAACCTTATTTTATTAAAGTTATATATATTATTATTTTAAATACTATACTTAGCTTTAATATTCTTTATAAAGTTAAACTAGCTTTAAATTACTATAAAATTCTTATAAAAAGCTTTTTTATAGTTATACTTATGCTTAAACTTTACTTTAAGCTTTAAGTAACACTTAATAAATATATTAAGCTAGTTTATGCTAATATAGCCTATATTATGCTTAGCGCGACAGGGTGTACAGTCCTACGTAATGGCTAATAGGCTAATGGAGTAGGGTAGAGAGACTAGATTATGGTTTGTCCCTATAGCAGCAGTATAGTGGCTAGGCTAAACAGTCCTGTTAGACAGAATTAGAGGTATATATGTTACAAGATATATAAATAGTATTATAGCTCTTTAAAAAGCTAAATGCTACTTAGTCTATATAAAGAATAAACTAAACATTAAACACACCTTCTAAAGGTTGTTTAAGGTTAGAACTATATACATGTCTAACAGCGCTAAGAATAAGTTATGTAAGTTTACTAAGTTTATAGTATAGTAAACTTACTTAGCTTATTAAACTTGTTTAACTTATAGCCTGCCTTCTTATTAGATAATGCACTCTTTTATAATTACAGGTAGCTGCGCTGCCTCTGTATCTTCTAATTAGTCTGTAAACAAGCTCTACTCTAACCTAGCTAGATTATAGAGCACCTTAGGTAGAGTTATGTTAGTCTAACTATAGACTGTAACACGCTGCCCCTCCTCCCTAGCAGCGTCCTTGCTGCTCTGCTTACACAACTATGTTAGTAAAGGTTTGTTTATAAGGTAGATGCCTATCTACTAAAAAGCGCCTATAACATTTTTTTTATACTAAATAGCTTCATAGTTCTATTTATTCTATTATCCTTACGCTGCCCTTTATTTTAATCCTTTTTATTAGACAAAGATGTAACTCTACAACACTTACTAGTTATTAGAGTTATCCTATATACTAACTTTATCCTTAGATAGGTGCGTAGAGTGTGTAAAAAAAATAATTTGTGTAATACTTTTATCTCTAACATAGCATAAAACTAGCTAAAGAAGAAAAAGAAGAAGCTTTTATAATCTGCTAAGGCCTTAAAGGTTTAGAAGTAAAAGCTTTTAAAAAAGCAAATAGAACAAATTTAAAAGCAGATTTATTTGCTATAGAAAATAGTAAAGGTAAGAGAAAGAGAGCGTTCTAAACAAGATTATATTTAAAAATTACTAGACTTATGTTACAATCCTTGCTTCAGGAAGCACTCGGGTCAAAGTTGTTCCTAGGGTGGTAGGACAGAGAGTAGGGGCCAACAGCAGGGTGTACAGTCCTACGTAATGGCTATTAGGCTAATAGAGTGGGGTAGAATGACTAGATTATAGTTTGTCCCTATAGCGGCAGTATAGAGGCTAGGTTAAACAGTCCTGTTAGACAGAATTAGAGGTATATATGTTGCAAGATATACAAATAGTATTACAGCTTTTTAAAAAGCTAAATGCTACTTAGTTTATATAAAAAATAAACTAAATATTAAACACACCTTTTAAAAGTTGTTTAAGGTTAAAACTATATACATATATAGTAGCGCTAAGAATAAGTTAGATAAGTTAGTTAAGTTTGCAGCATAGTAAACTTATTTAGCTTATTAGACTTATTAGACTTACAGCTTACCTTCTTATTAAACTGTGCACTCTTCTATAACTGTAAGCAGCTGCGCATCTATCTATGCCAACGTCAACTGCCACTTTCTACTTTCATCGATAAATGCATATCTCAGCATACGTCATTTCTCAATCTCCTTCTTCCAAACTTCACTTATGTTTGCTGGGTGAAAATGGCCTGGGTTCTGGTGGCAGCTTTTGCCGCTGCAGTATACGCTGTCTCACTATGCATATATCGCATTTTTATAAGCCCACTGTCCAAAATTCCTGGCCCGAAATTAGCTGCAGTCACTGGCTGGTATAAAACATACTTTAAGTTGTGTCACAAGTTTAGTGGCCAGTATCTCTTCCACATCCAGGCACTTCACAAAATATATGGTAACGGCTCCATACGCTCGATCATATAGATGTCAGAAAACTAAATTATATATTCAAGGACCAATCGTACGCATAAGCCCATGGGAAGGCCACATCGACGACCCTCAATTTTACGACAGATTCTACGCTGGTCGCGAAGCACTGCAAAAACCAGAATATCTCAATGGCGCTTTTTCTCCCCAAACGCGCTTTTCTCAACTTCAGAACATCACCTACACCGCATGCGCCGTACTTCCCAGGCCCACTTCGTTGCCAAAGGCCGCATACAGAAACTCGCACCGCAGATACAGACACTTGCCGACCGCATGTGTCGCCGCCTCGTGGAAGACTTCTCCGGCCAAGACAAGCCAGTGATCCTAAACAACGTGTTCACAAGTTTCGTTGGTGATGTCACGACGCAGTACAGTTTCAACCGCGACTTCAAATACCTCGAGGATCCGAACTTCTTGTCACCGTTCACCAGAGAGATTAGAAGTTTCTTGGCCATGGTGTACCCGTGCACACAATTTCCGTGGCTTGGCCGGCTCTTGTACACACTACCAGATTCACTGGTAAGCTCTGTGCAACCTGCAACACAGGGACTTCAAGAATTCCGAGCCTCCATGAGCACACTTATTCACCAAGCGAAAGAAGATGTTCGAGAGGGAAATTGTGAGACTGATAAGACTGTTATGCACGGTATTCTTGATTCTAACCTGCCGCCATTAGAAAAGAGTAACAAAGTATTAATAGATCAGGCGGCGGGGCTGGTAGCTGCGGGGATTGTGAGCACTAGGTGGACTTTAACACTTGCTTGCTACCATATCATCTCCGACCAGCGGATCTAGGAGAAATTGCGCCGGGAGCTTGAAAACGGAATGCCAGACTCGAGTCAGCCGCTGTAAATTCTACAACTTAAGCAGCTGCCATATCTCACTGCTTGCGTTGAAGAAGGTACCTCCCTCCATTCTGCTGCCTTAGAGTATATAGCTAACTGAATAAACATAGCCATTCGTCTAGCGTGTGGTCAAATTACGCGTTACCCGCGCATTTCGCACCTCTCAATCATCTACGGCGATTATATTATGCCCCCAGGTACTCAAATTTCGATGGACACTTGGCACATGCACCATAATGAGACCCTATACCCAGACTCATACGCTTTTGTACCTGAGCGCTGGATAGGCGATTCTCGAGCACCAGACGGGAAGCCACTGAAACATTATATGGTGGCTTTCGGTAAAGGAACGAGAAACTGCCTAGGTATGAATCTTGCGCAGGCCGCGATCACGATTGCTTTAGCTTCGCTGGTCAGGAGGTTTGAGTTTGAGTTGTTTGAGACGAGCTATGAGATGGATGTGCAGGTTGCAAGGGATGTTGTCGCTCCAGGTACTCACCCGGAGAGTCTTGGTGTACGAGTTTTCGTGAATTAGATATGTCTGTAAATCATTTTTCATGTTGCAATATACCACCTATTATATATTGTTAAACGTCATTCATTGCATATAATCCTCTGTAATGTCGAGATTTATGGTGGAAGAGTGCATTACGTACTTGTCTTTACGTTCACTAAACATACACGAGGTTTATTTAGATCCTAAACTCTCAAAAAGGCTCCAATTTTTCTTTCCACCCAATCCATATACTCCTTCGCCTGCCCCGTTCCCCCTTCTTCCATTCCTCTAGTAGCAAGCACAAGATCTCCTCTCTGCCCTGGATGCCACCGCCCATTACAAATCGCATACCTTCCCTGCACTGCGTCCTCCATCGTGACCTCATCTGACAATCCCATCCATAAGTACGTATAAGCGCCGAATATTGGATCTCTCATAAGTGGACGGAAAGGATAATATACGTAGGACGGGGTGGTTCTCCAAGCATTTGTAAGGTATGTTCCAGGATTGCCTGCGATATTAATCACTCCAGTATCTCTTCCGTGTCGTTTGCTGAGTTCGGAGGCGGCAAACCACATGGCTGTTTTGGAGATAGCATAGTTTTGGTTTGTGTTCTTGCCTGGGCTATCTAACTGAGAGATAGGAATACCGCCTTTTGGAGCGCCGAGCTCAAGAAGGATAGTTGAGGCCCAAACCACCCGTACACTATCTTTTGGGGCCATTTTTGCGGTAGTGGTGAGAACTGGTAGTAACAGTCTTTCGAGTAGGACATGAGCTATGTTGTTGACACCAATATGCAGTTCAAGGCCTTGCTTTGTCTTTGGGTTCCCGGGGACGACTGCAAGCCCTGCGTTACAGTATAGCACGTCGAGCCTTGTTTCCTTTTCCCTGAAGATTGTTGCTGCATGTTGCACGCTTTCAAGATCTTCAAGATCCATATAAATGAAGTGCAAAGAACCAGGATTATCTTTAGAGCTCCCGATGCACGTTTCTTCTATCCGCTTGACTGCCGTTTCGATATTCGACTTCGTGCGAGAAAGGATGTAGACCTTTGCGCCTGCGGCATATAGGATTCTGGAGAGCTCGAAACCAATACCGCTGCTCCCTCCCGTGACTATGAAGACTTTGCCCATCTGTGATGCGATGTTCTTTTCCGTGATAGGAGCACTATCCTTAGGTGGGCTGAACTGCGTCCATATCGTCGATAGACCTACGCCTCCTAGAGGCATGTTCGGCGAAGCCCTGGTCGATTGGCGGAGTTGTGGTTAGATGTTTATGTGTTTTTGCACTAGAATCTTAGATCTGTCGTTCTCTAAAGAGTTTGGGGCTCTTGTTAGCACAGTGGTCTTAAAGCAATCTACTTCTAAAGCATGGTTGTAGTCGCTAATCACGAACTTACAGGTGAGAGCCTTGTTAGATTCGGAGTTGTAAGACTGATGTGAGAATACTGAGAACGTGCGGCGTAGGTGCCAGCGCCTAAACGTAATATCTGCAGCTTACGAGAAGGTTCCGGGGTGCGTGTGAGGTAGATCAGGCTGAATAGTCAATGCGCGGTACGCATCGTTCCCACGCCACATTCAGCTTGCGCGCTAACTCCGAGAAAGTTTAGACAGATGCAGGGGTTGTTTTCCTAGGTTCGTCTGAATTTAGGCCGAAAAGGACTTCTCGAATATGCAAGCGAAGTCAATTGACGGGTTGTACACATCTATTACTGCACGTACTGATTTTGTTGACTGAACAGCCTCGCGAAACGTATTGCATTAGGCAGAAGCTCTTGCATGAGCTGAGAAGGGGTCATATGGTAAGCGAATCAACAAGGTACTAAGATCCAAACAAAGTAGATTGCACAAGTGTATTGTAAGGTCTAAAGAGCTTAATAGAGCTCTAGGCTAACTATATAATGTACAAGAAAGAAGCTATGCCTAATAAGTGAATAGTGCAGTGCTAGGTATAATATTACATAAGACACGTGCAACATATCCCCCTAGCTTTAACAAAGTAAATACTAAAGCAAAGCTGTACAAAAATAAATAATAGACTATAAGTGTACAGTAGTGCACTTAAAAGTGTAAAGTAGCTAAAAAAAAAAAGTTAGTAAGCTTAAGCTTTAAAACTAATATTAGTAAAGTAAGCTTTTAAAGTGCTACTTGTAAGAGGTATCGAGCAGGAAACACAGGTCACAGAGAGGGAATGCAGGATAGGGGGGGTAACGAGAGTAAACCTTAGGGTCGGAGGCAGAGGTACGGAGGCCGAGGAGCCTATATACCCCGTGCCAAGCCCTTAGGGTACTCAGGGGTTGGATAGCTGTAACATAACCGTGACACTACTTAAGTAAATAAAGCTTAGTTATTTAATAAATACTTAATACTTTTACTAAATTGCAGCAAATTGCAGCAAACTACAGCAAATTGCGGCAAACTACAGCAAATTGCGGCAAACTATAGCAAATTGCACTAAACTATAGCAAATTGCACCAAACTATAGCAAATTACAGCAAACTACAGCAAATTGCGGCAACCTATAGCAAATTGCAGCAAACTACAGTAGATTACAGTAGCAGGCAGCAATCTCTAGTAGATATTAGTTGTGTTGCAAGTAGCTCTACGTATAGAGAGAGTTCTAGGGGGGTAATGCCTCTAGAAAAAAAGCCTTAAAAAGGGCAGCAATAATTGTGCATAAGCTAGTGTTAGCATAATAGAAAATTACTAAGCTTTAAGCAGCTAATAAGGCAGCTATATTTAGAAAGGCCTGTGCTTAACAGCTCTAAAGGAGGTTAGGGCGCGCAGTGACAGGAAGAAGGCAAAGAAGCAGGTGCAAGCTAAAGTAGGTAAGCAATCCTAAAGGCGCTGCGGACAGCGCAATTAGACTAGGCATAACGCGCAAACGTGTAAGCAAGAAGTAGAAGTAGTATCTAAATAATATTATAGGCTGTACTGTACTCTATAGTGCTAGAGAAGGTTGTTATAGGCCATAATAAAGTTTGTTGTGGTGTGGTCTTAGCAAAAGTGAGCAACTCAGGTGTGTAAGCAGTTGCCAATCCATGTGTCAGATATGCGCACCTACTGTCAAGACAGGAGGAACGCTTGACGAAAGCTGATACATAGTACGAGCAATAAGCTCGAACAGTATGTTGCAGCATTTTGCAACAAATTGCAGCATGTTGCAGCATTTTGCAACAACTTGCAGCATGTTACAGCATTTTGCAACAAATTGCAGCATGTTGCAGCTGGTCGCGCATAGGGCTAGTGCGCGAGGGACTCAGACCAGAAAAACAAAGCCGAGCAACACGAGCAGAGCAGACAAAAAGAAAAAGAAACATTAATTAATTAATACAATAAATCATCATCCCATACATCATATCTAAAACCCATCATTCATCTCAGGAAGCCTAGAAACAGTGCCTCAATCTAACACCCTGACACACCGATGCCAATCCCTGACACACCGATGCGGCTGATGCCAATCCCCGACACACCGATGCGGCTGATGCTAATCCCCGACACACCAATGTGGCTGATGCTAATCCCCGACACACCAATGTGGCTGATGCTAATCCCCGACACACCGATGTGGCTAGAGAGGTGGAACAGACGCAACTAACTATAATTTAAACATGTTTTACACAACGCACGCTAGAGCAAACTGCGTGCAAATTAACAGAAAGGTGCACTTATATTATGTATACATTTTTTTTAAAAAAGAATATAAGAAATACATAAGGTGACAGAGAAATAGCGTTACTAGGGTTTATCTAAAGAAATTCTGACTAACTAGCGCGTCTAAAAGAGGAGATTCTGCTTAACTTTTCGTTCTGCAAACCCGAATATAATAAGCAGAGCAAGCTCTGCTAATAATAAAAAATAAATTTACACATAATAAAAAACTAACTACTTTTAAAATTTATTATAAAAGTAACACTTTATAATAATAGGCATAGAGAATATAAAAGAGAAAAATAGCATAAAGAAGCTTTTTAAAAACCTAAATTTATTTCTAAAAAAAAAGCCCTTTATTATAATAAAGAACTAATAGACCTTAGTTATGTAAAATAGATATAAAGCTCTCTTTTAAAGAAAAGCTAAACCTGTAGACATAATAAGCTGTCTTTAACTAAAAAGTAATACAAATAGCTAGAGAATAAGGCCTACCTAAACTATAAAAAAGTAGAACATTTCTACTAAAATTACCTAAACTTTTAGAAGAAGGAGAATAAAAATACTACTATAATAATAAAAGCTATTACTACTAAATATAGCCTTATAAATAAGAAAATATTAAAAAGATTAAATAATAAACTCTACTAAAGATATAAAAGCAACTACTTTTTAAAAAACTACTTTAAAGTGTACTAAAAAGTAGTTATAAAAAACTTTAGTAGCCTTAATTAAGTGTTGTAAAACCTTGTAATTTTTAAAAAAATATAAAAAGAAAACTTAGATCTAAAGATATATTATAAATGTTAGAAAAAAAATAGTTTTCTTTTAATAACAGAACGCTAGGCACCTTAGCATAAAAGCTTTTTAAATAGTTTTAGAATTACTTATGTTAGAAGTGTAGGTAATAATAAAATACTACGATAGTTTATAAATAATCTGTAAAAGCAAAGCTTGCTTAGAGCAATAGTTAGTACAATAAAGTAGGTTATTTACGTTAAAGAATAGTTATAGCATAATGCTTAGCAAATTAGTATTAGACAGGTAATAGACACATAATAACTGTCACGGTATCCTCCCCGGATCCCAGACATAACCGTATTGGACGCGTACTGGAGTATTATCAGTGCACGTCTAACATGAACACGACACGACACAGACATGAACTTAAGCATAAACTGCCTTAACACTAACTAAACCTAGAACAGGCTTAATTTATACTTAAAGCGCTTAGACTTCTAAGCTAAGTATTTAATTACTAATTTCCTCCTAAACTTTTCTATTTCTTACATAACGTCTTGTACCTACTATAATACCTTATGTAGTAATTAAACTAGACCTCTACAAAGCTCTATAACCTTACTTGTGCATAATTATAACATTACGTTGTGTTAAAACCTTAGCTAAGAATAGCCTCTAAATCTAATTTAATAAGCTTAGTACTTACATAACTCTAAGCTATTAGAGCAAGCTAAGAAGCCTTCTAAGAAGCGCTTACTTTATAAAAAAGCTACTACGTTGCAAGCTTTAAAGCTTTTTAAAAGGACTTTAAAGAACAGCTTTGCGCTATTAAGTAGTCTATTTCTGCCTTAACTCTTGTTATAGTAGTAGGAACTAAGAACTTACTAGCCTTAAAGTCTACCTAGAAGTCTAGAGATAGCTTAACTCTCTCCTGCCTAACGCTGCCTACAACCTGTAACCTCTCTAACCTAGTAATAAAATCTAACTAACTCCCTAATCCCCTACTGTTTAACAGAAAACAGAAAGACCTATCTTCTTTTCTACGCAAGCTCTAATATAAACTTAAAGGAAACATAGACTAATTCCCCTCTAAACGCTTCTAGTTACTATATGCCTACTTTTAACTTAACTATAACATAACAGCCTTAATTAACTTACTAATAGATAAAGATATTATTAACTTAGACTAATTTATAGTGTTCCTGTAAGCAACTTATAAAGACCTAAATAAAAAGTTAACAGCCCTAAGTTACTTAAACACTTTATAATAAAAAAAGAAAAGCTTTACTTTACACTTTACTAAGTTTTGCTAACTTATATTTAATACAGGCCTAAATAAAATAAGTCTAATTATAGCCTTACATAACTCTCTCTTAACTAAACTGCAACGCGCTATAGTAAAAGAACCCCTTCTAAACAACCTTAACGCGTATGTAAACCTAATTGCTACCTATAATAATAACATAAGGTTCCTCCCTGTACAAGCCCTAATACGCCCCTAAACTAGCGCAGTTGCAAATAAGAACTCTAATGTAATAGAAATTAATTTAAATTATGCTCTAGTTAGTTCTAAAAAGCGTAAAGATTATAAAAAAAAAAGTTAATGTTTTAAGTGTAGTAAGCATAGTTATATTTTCTAAAACTACTTTATTTCCCTTCTTTAAGTCTGCGCAAGTAGCGCTGCTAGTACTTATTAAAAATTCTTACTATTTTAATCTTGTTTTTATAAGGGCTCTAACTTGTATTTAAGCTCTAATCCCCCTTGCTACTCTTAACGTAGCCGCAGCTATAGCAGTAGGAGCCTGTAAAAAGGCTTGTCCTAGGGCTAAGTTGCCCTCTAGGACTAATTTAACACTAGATCTCTGCTAACTTATAGGCTAAGTCCTCTACTAATAACTAGAAGTACTAAGTTAATATTTTTATATATTTATAATAAGAAACTATATTAGCTTTAATATAAGCTCTTATTAACTTAGGAGCAAACAGCATAGGTTACATTAATAGAGAACTAGCGCGTAAACTAAATCTTTAATTAACACTACTTACCTAAACAATTTACCTAACTAAATTTAATAAAAAACAACTTA